CCCAGCTACTTGGGAGGCTGAGGCAGGAGACTCACTTGAGCCCAGGAGTTGGAGGTTGCTGTGAGCTGTGAAGCCACTGCACTCTACCCAGAGGGATAGCTTGAGGCTCTGTCTCAAAAAAAAAAAAAAGAATTCTAAGACTAACAAATTTGGAAGATCTCTCACACATAGTCACAGAACAGTTACGACACCAGCTCCACAAATACAATTACTATAAGTTTGGTTCTTGTGGAGTTTGGGTGGTTCCTTTCCTTCTCAGGTGGTTCCTTCATTCTACAAAGGTTTACAAAATTGCAGCATTTTAAAGTCACTTGGAAGAGCTCCTGTCATGTGGTTCTGCCACCAACTGGATACTCAGATAGGAAAGGAGTCCAAGCTGAGTGGCAGAGGGACTGAGCGAGGTAGAGCAGGTGCGGCATGAACGTGGCCCTCTTATAAACAGAGGCCAGCCTAACTGCACTCAGAAATCTGAGCTTCAGAGGAGACATAGTGGAAAGTGAAGAAGTTTTGTTAAGTAATAGGAAGATACGGATAGATACATCTGAAGTGGAGCTTTGGGACAATTAGTTTGTACAGCATTTATTAAGCTAGAGACAGCAAAGATTGAGGTCAAATACAGCTGCTAAAAGACAACTCAATGCAGCTTGTCCAGTCATCTTTTGAAGTGGTACCAGACACTGCACTAGGCACCAAAGACAGACTGGGTGCTGAAATCCATCCAGTGAGCACACAGACTTTTGGTCCAGGCAAACAGCGTGTCCTGCAGCATCTTAATATCTTAATTTCTGTATAGGTTGGGCATCACCTATCCAACGCGCTTGGGACCAGGAGTGTTTCGGATTTCAGATTTTTTTTTTGGATTTGGGGATCTTTGCATATGCATGGGATGGAACCCAAGTATACACATAAAATTCCCTTATGTTTAATATACACTTTTTATACAGAAGCAGAAGGCAATGTCATACAGTATTTTTAGTAATTCTATAAATGAAACAAAGTGCACTAAACCACCAGGAAGCAAAGGTGTCACCATCTCAGCCACCAATGTAGACAATCTGGTTGTTTGGCATCACCGTCATTGCTGAATTTGTATGCCACTGATAAGTAATCATTTTCTTACATTTATTTACACCTAGTACTTAACAGTAAGAAATATGGCATACCATTAAAACAGTGAAAAAGTAACACACTCAGGGTAACTCCCTAGGCTCACCACATAGAGCCATTAATTCATTAATGACTCAGGGGTCCGCAAACTTTTTGAAGAAGGGCCAGTTCACTGTTCTTCAGACCGTTGGAGGGCCAGACTGCGGCCCCGGCAGAAGTCGGCTGCTAAGCAGGACAGGCAGCTGTGGCAAAAACACCCAGCGGGCCAGATAAATGTCCTCGGCGGGCCACATGTGGCCCATGGGCCAACCTGATTAATGTTCTAGCTAGTAAGAAAGAAACATCCCCAGAAGAGCCAGCAGAATACCCGGATCAGCTGCCAAACAGCAACAAACAGCAGGCTTTCCGTCTCCGTGCTGTGATTAAAAAGTTACTGTCCACTCTATTTTTCTAGGTGAAAAACAGCAGCAGCAGTTGAGGGACCAGAAAGTGGCTACTCCGAGGATGAGGAGGAATTATGCTGGATGGCTTTTTTAAAGCCAAAGTCATCCAAAGTCATCTGCCCCACTAACAACAGCTTTTGCCTTAGAAGTCTCTCTGATTGCACAAGTATAAGCCGACGTGATTTCCTGTTCTGTTATAAATGCACACTGCTCCAGTCTTTCAATAAAGCCCTCATACATTTTCACCATGTTGTCTGTAGGCCCTTTTTCTGCGATGTGAACATCATCTTATCACTATCATCACAATCATTTTGATTCACAACTAGTTCTGTTCTTCCATCAGTCAATGAATCAAACAATCATAGTTTCGTTATCCAAGTTCAAAACTTCTTTGATGTCCACGTCTCGCTCACGGAAAGACTCTGAGGGTATCTTTTGTGTATGTAAGGAGTTCAGACGTCGTTCTTGCCTCACTTGACACCTGAAATCCTTCAAAGTCACCACTCTGTTCATCATGATCACTGAACACAGTTGCAGGCCAGGGCTTGCGCCAGGCATGCAGAACTACGTCTCTAGTCACTGTGTTCAAAGTGTTGGCAACGGAATATATAACATCCTTCCCACTAAACTCATCTGAAAACCTCCCCCACACACCTCTGTTCACAGCTGCCAGCACGCTCTTCCAAAAGATGTGTTTGTATTTACTCTTCATTGATGGAGGGATAATCTGGTCACATGGCTGAAGTAATGAAGTCATATTTGAGGGAAGTACATGGTATACACATTATTTTTGGATGAAGGTTTCAGCTGGAGGATGAGCTGAACAGTTGTCAAGGAAAAGCAAAATCTGGCAGTCTTCATTGGGTCCAGCTTCTCTGAACCAGCATGAGACTCGGGCACAAACTGTTCCTAAAACCAATCAGAAAAGATGTCCCTGGGGATCCATTCCTTTTTATTAGAATAACGGACTCGTAAGAAATTCAATCCTTGAAAACAGCAAGGACACAAGTTTTACTGCACCAAGACTATGCTTGTGTATGTTTGCTTCATTAGCACATCCTGACACGGTTATTCTGTCCTTGACAGCCTTAATTCCTATAGGGGCTGTCTCATCGCCTGTCAGCAGTATCTTTCAGGAGCTATAATGCCAGAAACAAATAAATAAATAACGTTTCATCAGCATTAGAGACTTGTCCTGGCATGGGAGTTTCATCAGCAGGGACCCTGGCAAATGTGTCAGTGAACTTCTCCCGTTTTGTGAGCAGCAGACACTTTATCACCAACCTCTTTCAAAATGCTGTGTCTTTTCTTATATTTTTTCAAGCAGCCCGTTGGATATTCACATTCAATTTTCAACTTGTGACAAGTCTTGACTTGTTTCACGATCAACATCCCACGATGTGGCCTGGACTCACTGCAATGCTGACAGATCCACTCTTTGAGGACATGGCTGAGATCTTCGTTTTCAGCTTCATGCAGTGTTTTTCCATTTTTCAGCACAGATCTTAGTTTATCCCTCTGTTTCTCGAGCTCATAGGCGCCGGTCATTCCAACACCACGCTCTCCTGCAGGATGCTTCACACTCCATCGTATCTAAGTCTGACATTCTGCGCTAAAGATAAACACTAATGCTTCCTCTTTTTCTTATTACTGTTACCGACAGGGGTATTTTCAGGTCTTTCTTGACATTTTCAACAGTATCTTTATACCAGAGAGCAGAGAATATGCAAAAGAAAACCACAGGGAGTGATGCATGGGCCGGGCCCCATGTGGGGCACTGTGAGGAGCCTGCATTTGGCGTGTCTGATCTGCACGTGTGCCATTTTATTACCTTTTGTGGGTGTGCTTGCGTGGAGGAAAGTGGAAACTATACAGCTCAGCCAAGGGGGACAGTAGGTCTTTCCTGGGGATGCTTAATAAGCTACGTGTTGTGCACCTGCATTTTGTTGCCACCCACCACATGGGGTCAGGTGTGAAATTTTCCACTTGTGGCATCATATAGGCCCTCAAAAATTTATATTTGGGAGCATTTTTAATTTTGGATTTTGGATTTAGACATGTTCAACCTGTACTAGAGGCAATCATGGGATACTTTAAAAAATACTCAGAGGGACCTTGACTAGTGTGGGATTATCTTTGAAGAGGATCCCTAGAAGGAGGAAATATGAGGAAAAAGAGATAAAGAGCGTGGGTGTGGGATGGCAAAATATTTGAGAATAAAAGCTATACTTCCAGGGACAAAGGCAAAGACACAAGGCCATGCCTTACTCTCGGTGTACAATTGCAGGAGGAACTTAGGATGTAGCCAAGGAGAGAGGTGGGCACCAGCAACAGAGGCCAGATCAACAAGGACTTGAGAAATTCAGCTGTAATCCAGAAGGCAACGTGGAACCAGCAAGGCGGTAACTCCCTCACCTCCTTCTGGGGGGAAGCTAAGAATGGACAGAGTTGGGGCGGTGGTGCTACGGACAACTGTTGCAATTTCCCAAGTGAGAGTAGGACAGGCCTCACCAAGGCAGACTTCTAAGCCTTAAAGGATTGCTGAAATGTGCTGTGTGACAGGCCAAAGGTACACCAGGGACAAACTCATGGCTGTCAGATGAAAAGGGGACTCATCTTACAAATGTCAACAAGAAGAAAAATTTTGTTCGGCAAAAAAAAAAAAAAAAGGTGCCATGACTGAATAAGTTGAATGAAGAATGGGATGTGAACATGCAAATAGAATGGATTTTTGGTCTGCCTTTTTGCTTATTCCCTCTCAGACAGGTAGAAATCTGCTCTGGCTAGAACTATCACTGACAAAATATTTTAAGGAGGTAGATAAGATGGGCACTGAGGGGAGAGAGATTATACCCTTGAATCAAAAATCGTAACAAAAAGGAAACATGAACCTAGACAAGCCTAACGCAAAGGCCATCTTCTCCCTGATCCACCTGCTGGCCCTGCCCTCTGCAGTCCCATGGGGGTGATAGTTTTGGACTTGTCTGCACTCCTGTCCTAGCCCTCTTCACTATGCTGGTAACTTTTTCGAGGTAGGATGGAGGGAAGGCCTAAGAGGGAAAGATAAAAACAGAACAATCAAAGAGAGATTTACACAGGTGTATGAGGTGGCATGTCCATAATAGCATGGCTTATGACAGCAAAACCTTGGAGTGTAACCAAATCATCTACCAACAGAAGAATGAACAAAACTTTACTTATGATTCATTCATACAGTACAATTGTCAATCAGAACTACAGTCACACTACATCTATTCCAGTCTCAGTAAGTCAGCTAAAGTAGGATATATTAATATAAAAGAATATCCCATATTGTTGACTATCTACCATTATACACACAAACATGCAAGCATATGATGAATTCCAAACTCAGCAGTCCGTAGAGAGGGAACCTGAAAGTGGGGTGGGAAGAGGTTGACTGGTATTGGGGAGAAGAACCCAGATCTTCAATCATATCTTTCATATGATTATGAAAAATCATAATTTTTTTCTTTAAAAAAGAGTGAATTTAGAAAAATGTTATAATTTGATAAAGTTGTCTTTATTATGTTTGAAATACATGATATGGTAAAAAGTAAACTCAACTGACAGTCTGACCTAATTTACATTATAATCTAAAGAGATAATCCTTTTTGTACTAAGTATAAGCTTATGTGTATCTAATTGAATAGCAGTGTGAAAACAGGACCTAAGTGTACTTTTTTTTTTTTTTTTCCTATTTACCTGAAATATCTGCTTCAGGGAGAAAAGGGCCCTTCTTAAATCTCGTCCACTGGAGTTGTAAAGTTTTTCTGAAATAAAGAATACAACATATAAAATTAATTAAACTGACTCAACAGATGATACAAACAGAGTGGCTGTGAATGGTAACAGGACGCCCACTGCCAAGGTCACTAAGACACCTCCACTTCCTCTAGGACGCAGGCTTCACCCCAGACAGCATGAAGGAAGCTTCCTTCACATCTGGCCTGTTCCAGGCAGCAGAGAGATGGGTGTGGGAGTTGTGAAGATGTCGTCCACCCTCCCTCTCTTCAGATCCATCTCCCATTGTTCACAGACTCTTTCCAGTTTACCAACTGTTTCCACTTAATGACCCAGAAAATTAACACAAGACTCACTCCTCCCTTGCCTCATGGGCCCCATCCCCGAGCTTTCTGTGCCTCCCTTTCCTTGGGGGGTCTCCTGGTCACCTGGAGGGCTCTCCTGGGCCTGAGCCCAGGCAGTCTAGGAGACCCGAGGCAGCAACACAGACTGACTCACTCCCTCTAGCCACATGACTGCCTCAGCTCTGCCCGGGCCTGGGTTCTCAATCATGTTCAAGATGGTCCTGGACCTGTGCAAGGCAGGTAGAGGAGCCCTGCCTTGGAATTCTCTGGCTCGAGACTTGGGTTGACTTCCATAATACCACTGTGTTCAGCTGGTCACTAGGCCTCATGAAGGAGGTGACTGTGAAAGAGGACCTGCCCCCAGAGGTCACCACCCAGTGGGAGACACAGATGATTATGCCACAATCATGGGTCGCATGAAGATATGCAGGAGGGAGAGCACAGTTCTGCTGGTATGTGCAGGATGCCAGGGAGCATGGATTCTGCTCAGCCTCCCAGCACCCACACTGGGTCCTGCTTGGGTGGCTCAGGGGCATGGGGTTACATTCCTAGCGCTGGATACCAGCCCTCCCCACAGAAATCATCCAACACAGATTAACTGGGCACCTGTAGGGGACTATTCTAAGCACTGCGGATACAATAGTGAACAGCAGCATTAGTGCGAGCAAACACTAAGTAATCAGACTGCCTGTGTTCCAAACCTGGGGTCACCACCTACTCGCCATGTGACCCTGAGCAAAAACGCTTTACCTAAGTCTTCAATTCTCCATCTGCAAAATGGGAATTGACAATACTAGATTTAGAGGAAAATTGTTTCTGCGTTATATCACAAATGTCTGTATATGACACTGGGATGCAAGATCATTTAAAATGTTTAGATAGAATAAAAGCTTTCTTT